CCACTCATAGAACCACAGTCAGTGACTGGTGGGATGTTTCCAAACAGCTGCCCAACTCTCTGAGGTGGAGTTCCAGGTTTATTTGCTTTTATGGGGACTGTCTTTTCTGTCACACAAGCATTACGCATTTCACTTAAACTGAAACAAAGAGGTACTGCAAGAGGAGATAATGAATTAGCAGGCTGGATGTTCATGTTTCTTATGTGTGTCTTCTCACAGAAACTTGAATCAGTGATTAATATAATGTGATTTATGGCACCCTTGAAATTCGTAAGAGGTGTGCATGTGCCTTGTCAGTATATGTTGTCTCTTTCTGCCAGAATTAGTGGAAGTGAACTATTCTAGCATCTCTTGCTTGAGATTTTGGTCATGTACACGTCTGTTGTCTGGGTGGCCTGAACCCTGCTTCTTCCTCAGTTGCTTCCCTATCTCTGTCCTGCTCCTGTGCACCCCAGCTTTCTTTAGGTTTATACACTTGATCCTGTTGCAAATTTACCACTAGACCTGCAAGAACCTTAGCAAAACTTGACATAGTCAAATACACCTTGTTTCCTTGATGCAGGATGAGAAATAGTTTATTGTCATTTCAAACTTTGCACGACATATGAAACATGACTATGCTCTTCATAGAATTGAAAGTCTATTTGTAGGTGCTGTGCTTCTAGAGGAGTGCTTGGGGTGAGGGGTTTGGAGAGAAGGGGAGATGTCCAATACGTTTTTTTGTTCTGTTTGAACAGTTTTACGCAGTCCTAAATTTTCTTGTGTTTTATTCTTCTTGCTTGCTGATTTTCTGCACACTTCTCTCCACTCAGTTGAAACGGGAAGTGTTGCTACAGCATCGCCCAGTTCTGAGGGCTTATCACAAGATGTTTCTCTGATGTGAGTTTATCTCAGTGGTGAAGCAGGGGCTCTGATGTTAGCATGATGAAAGATAACTTTCATTGCTTTCCCTGACTACTTGTCAGTACTTTGTCTGCTTCTTGCAAATGTAGCTGTAGTTGCTCTGGGAGACTTAATGTCTTTACTAGCACTTGGGAAAGGATACTGGCCAGTTGCAAGCTTCAGGTAAAAGCAGCGGCTCTCTTTGAGGGTCTTCCCTCTGCTCTAAGCATATTGAGGTCTGTGCTTAAAGTCTAAGGCCTTCTGAGAGCTAATTGTCTCAACTTGTTGATGGACAGAATGGGAAGTGTTTGCAGATGTCAGCAAGGGGCTGGTCTGCCCACTCAGAACCTAAGAGACAAGCTGTTGCCCAGTTGTGCCATTAGCATTAATATCTGGGTGACAGAGTGCTCTGGACAGACTGCTGACTTCTTCCAAGCATTCACATGCCTTGTGGTGCGAGGGCTGACTTGTGAGAAACCACAGCTGTTGGCTCCATGCCGATATCCCACCAGCTTCACCAGGAGGAAATGGATGATAGGGAGAGCTGGGTGCTCTGCAGCAGGTCAAAATAACTGGCTGCTTCATATGAGTTTCTGAAGCTGTTAAATGGCTCTTGATGCACACGTCCATGCCTGTGTTTTCTCTCGGCTTTTCCTTGGGATGAGTGTCTGCAGGACAGCTGTACAGGGAACCCAGCAGGGCAGACAAGAAGGGCCTGAGGCTGCTCTCTGCAGCTCAGCTGCTCATGTGTCCTGGAGGAGGGCATGTTCTTCAAGGGGAAATGTGGTTGGGTTTCTTGGACCACATCTCCTCCCCTTGCTGCTATTCTCACAAGTATTTCACAGACTGTCAAGTGAGGCCTGAGGGAACAGAAAGGAGAAAGCCTCTTATAACCATGAGTGTTGACCTACAGCACATGCTCATGGAGAAGCATAATTCAGGTATTCACTTAACTTTAATAAATCTGTTGATCTCCTCAGAGATGGCCTCTCTAGGCTGGCTGTTATCACAATGTTATAACTGCTGAATCTGTATATGCAAATGGGTTGTCATTACTCAAGTATCTTAGTGTGTGGGAAACCTGCTCTAACAATGCTTTAGAGCATGGATATTATCAAATGTAATGGGATGGTTTCCTCTTCCAGAGCTTGCATGTTCATGAGTCAGTCACTAGCACATGACTGGAAGTTCAAGATGAATCATAGGATCACCTCACTGCTGATGTGGGAATTTGGTACTTCGCAATTTCAGTATTTTCTGAATGAAAAAACAGATGAATAATTCATGCCTGAAACTGAATGCCTGTTCCTTCAGCTATTAATCCAATTACTGATTAACATTGCCTGCTTCTTCCTGTATTACCTAACAGCTGTGTTCACATGACCTCCAGGCAGTCAACTCTGTTACAAGAATGCAGAAGTGCAATGCTTAAAACTTCTTAAAAGCCCTAGTTATTCTTTATTTGCTAAATTGTTTCTAGTATCAAAGAGCACCATTAAAGCAAAGAGACCCGGAGGGTGGGGGGGGGTTTGCTTGCTCCTTGCCTCCCCTCTTATACTTGCTTGCTGTGTATGTTGTAGCTGAGATGCACAGCTTTGGTTTGATTTTTCTCTGAGAAGGAGCACATGTTGGCCAAGTGGGATGAAAATTACTCCTAATTACACAAATGGTTCTGGATCGGGTTGGAGATGAAGTCCTGAGGATCAGGATGCTGGCAAGTGTCCCTTTGTGGATATGTTGCAGGAACATCAATGTGTTAACTGTGTTTCGGTCATCATTGGCTCTCTCATCTGCTGTGAGCTTAGTTTTTCTGATTTAGTCATATTGGAAGTAACCAACAGAAATTAGAGACACTATTCTAGTAGCAGTTGCCTCTTCTCCCCAAAGGACATGGCATCTTGCTCTGCATATGCCAAACACCTGAATTGATAGCTATCATATCAGGGAAGGCTGTAGGACCAGTGTTTGTATGCAGCAGGGCAGCCTGGCACTCCCAGTTGGGAGTAGTCCATGTTTCTCTAAGAGAAGGATTCCCAAAATGTGTCTGGTTCTTGCAGCTAATGACTTTGAACAGTACCAATTGAAATACTGAGTTAAGGCGTATAATGCCTCAGTTAATTTTCTAATACTTGGTACTAGTCTGAAAATCCCAAAGACCACCTTCAGTACAGCCTTCAACCTTGTGTCAAAGCAGTTGCTTAGCCAAATCTTCAGATTTGGTTCAGTATTAAAATCTGTTTGCTAAATTACATATACTGTTCCTAGGTTTAAGAAATGTTGATGTTAGTGGTCGTGGCGTATTTGAGCTTCAGAACTGCAAATTTTTGTCTCTCTTCTTTCTATAACAAACATTAATGCAGCAATGTACTTGTACTCATATGAGTAGTCTTAGTTGCCATGTTGAGAGATTCACATACTTAGTTAAGTGTGTGTGCACCAAAATTTGTGAAAAAAGTTTCACCTGAATGATTTGCTAGCATTTTGTAGCTTAAAACTTGTCTCCTGAAAGCAAGGTTAATTTCTTATAATTCCTAAAATCCCACTTAAATGTATTGAAAATACCTTTTAAAGATTTGTGTGACAAAGCACTTCAAATATACTAAGGTTAAGTCTTTGGTGGTAATAACAATAATAGTAATAATTATGAAGATGTCTACATTAAAGTTCCTGACTGACTTCTAACTTCAGTTTGAAACTAGGAAGACCTGAACTCTTAATGGTGGGCCACTTATAATTATTTTGGCTCACTTGATTTGTGGAAAATTGATGTACTTGGAGATTCAGGGATTCTGAGTGAAACATGAATTCTTGGCAGCTTCACTGTATGGATGCCACAGGTTTGACAGCCCAGTTCATCACTTAGGTCTTTCTTATCAGGACTGAGCATTTTAAATAGACTTTTCTTTTACTAAATTTAAGAATAATGACAGTCCAAGGCTGAGATGTTATCTGGTAAATAATTTGTACTACTCTTTACAGATGTGTTTTTGTAAGTAGTAAATAACATGTAAGTTCCAAAATGTTGTCTTAAATCCTGGACTGCTTCAGAGACTTACAAAGTTTGGGAAATTCTGACCACAGGAGATAGTTTTAAGAAGTCATGATAGTCTTCTGACAAAGTGGGGTCAGCGACTTTCACCTTGTGTTCTGGGAGATGGGGAGGGGTGGGAGTGGTGTGAACCATGTGAATCAAGAAGTAGAAACTAGCTAAAAAAGTGTTCTGTACTAAGTAGCTACCTAATTGTCTTTGGTTTCCTTTCTCTAGCTGAGAAAAGTATTTCCTGGCAGGGATAGATAATCTATTTCTATTCTGGCTAGGTTTTTTTCAGCCAGTGGTATCAATTCAGTTCATTTGCAATTCTATCAATATCCATGCTTGTTTTGGGAAATGAGAGTGAGAATATTGTTTTGTACACATGTATTGTAGGCTTACATGTGTTTATTCTGCTCTTGATTCTGTTTAGTTAAAGTGCTGTTACTTTTCAGTGCAAAGGTTCTGGTACTTTTCCATTTCACGCTTGTATAGATACTGGAGCTTATGGTTCTTGCCCAATGAACAGAACCCCTTCAGACTACTGCTTCATGTTTTATTTTTTGATGCAATAACCAAAGTTGGAGAGTTGGGGTAAGCAGCACTGAGAAAACTAAAGATGCTGCTGAAATGACAAACATTGGTTTTCATATTTTATTTTAGAAAAATAAGACTAAAGGCTGCTGTCCATCTTGCAGTATATCAGAGTGCTGCTTGAGTCAGATGAGTTCAGAATACTGATCATTCTTGTATTAGACATTCACATGCTGACTATCCTGTTTAACGTGAGGGGACTATCCAGCTCAGCAAAGTGCCACTGTTGTCTGTTCCATAAGCATATTCAGTGCTATTCTACTGCTTTCATGTCTTTGTTGATTTCCTCTTCAAATCCTATTAAGGAAAAAAAAAAGAGGAAACTCTGTAGTTTCACTTTCTTCAACTAGATCCCCTTTTCTGAGCATTACTTCGAGAGGAATAGCAAGTTCCATCCCACCACCTTCACAGCTGTTTTTTCAGGATGGATGTTTGTAATAAGCATTTTCAACAAAGGGGAGTGAGGAACAGGACTCTCTATACTTTATTTTAGACTCAGGCTGTGACTCTGTGACTGATACAGAAACAGAAGACGAGAAGAATCCAGTTGACTCCCACAGACCTGCCATGACTGAAGAACCTGGATCATCCAAGAGCACTGGGGACTGTCCAGTGGTGCAGCCCAGCCGCATACAATGTGGGGTACTGTATGTCCACTCCTTGGACCATGTTCTTACTGTGAGCTGGTGCAACCCGTTATGCTGCTTTGTAATGGTCAGCTTTATTGGACCTGGAAATTAGTCCTGAATTCTTCTTGTCACCTTCCTGCTCAGCCCCCTGGCCTCCATGTGTCTTGTTCCATGGGCTTGGCTCCCTAGGCCCAGGACTAGCTTGGTAACATGCTGTCTGAGCTGTGGTGTCACTTAATGACTGTCTCATTAACATGGCTGCTTGGCTTGGGTGCTTGAGACAGGTCCACACTCTTCCCTTCCTCTGTTCTGCTGGCAAGTGGGGTAAGATGACTGTAATGAACTGATTATCTCTGATTATCTCTGATAACTGATATATCAATATCCAGACTAATATGCCAATTCTGGTGCATGGCTTGCAAGTGACCCTGAAAAGCTTGGATCATGGTTTCTTGTCTGAAAAACAGCACTTTTTAGTATAGCATCTCCTGAGATGGAAAGAGTCCAAATTTCTTTCTCCTGCTTCTGTTTAGAATGTGGCTGTGCTGCTTAAGGGAAGAGATGAATAGAGTTGAAAGTAAATAATTTTTTTAAATCTAGCCCTAATCAGTTTATAAATCTATCTAATAAATCTGGAGTTCTATCAGTTTAATGCTTGTATCTATACTGGTGCAAGCTGTAGCAGATGCCACTTGCCCAGTTAGTCTGTGACTGGAAGATACTCCTGAAAATGATTCAAAACTATTAAAATAATAAGTTCTGATTGATGTGTTAGTTGCAATCAGAACAAAATCCCTAGAAAATGGATTTAACCAAGTAAGTGCTTTTGTTTTGAACCTGTGTGTTGTAATCCTTTTTGCCCTAGGTGCAGACAACAGTTTATATTATCATGAAATGTAAACTAGATGGTGAAATGAAAACTGAAGTTGAATTTTCTCCAGAGAATGCATCCTCTGTGCGTGTGCTGGCTCAGATGGAGAATGAATACACAATCTCTGTGAAGGCTCCAAGTAAGATGAATTGAGATTTTTTTTTTCTTTCCCCTCTCCTTCCTCATTGCTTCCTTTCTATATCAACGTGCCTGTTCTGAGAAGTGCCAAGGGCACAAGGGTAAAGACTGCAGTGCAGAAAAACTTGGAGTCCAGAAAATCTTAAACTTGCATTCTCACCTGTGGTACTTTTGATGAGGAACTGAGAGAGACTGCGGCTTGTGGGCTCTGTTTTCCCCTCATCGACAGTAGGGTTACAAGGTGGAAACACCTTGCTGGGAGTTCTGAGAACACATTGCAGCTTGTAGAGCACTTTGGACTTTGCTGTGTGTTATGACCACCACCATATTAGCATTGGCATGGCACCAAGAGAGAAGTGAAGTGCCAGTAAATAATTACATTACTATAACGGCATGTGTTTAATGTGTAGTGATCTCTGTGATCAGAGCTGAAGCTATTTATTCTGGCTTGCCTTTTAATTTAGATATGTTCTGTCACTCTAAATATTTACATTTACAAAACTGAAGGTTGCCTAAACTTTAGGTTCACTGAACTTTAAAGGAATTATTTCAGAGCCTTAAAGATTGATATTTTTTCCCAGCATTATTTTATTTAATCTGCTTTAGTCTGTCCTATTGAAGAGTCACTCTGCCATTCTCTCTGAGAATAGAGATTAAAAGTCATTAAAGTAACTACCATAAAGTCAGTGAAATGAGTTGATTTTAAAGAAGGTGACCTCATGAACATATAAAGGCTTAATTTAATGTGTTAAGTCAAGACTTAAGATATAAACACTGACCTGGAAACTAACTTGTACTTTGAATTATAAACATGACTTTCACATTGATGGAGTGTACAGTGTAAGCTCTGAAGTTGCTAACAGTAAGAGAAATAATTTTTAATTCCTTTGTGTTATTGACTGTTTCGTAATTTCCTGAGTTGTTAACAGGGAAAGGCTAATTTTAGTGGCATTCAAATATCTGTTTCAAAGAGAAAGTTCAGACTTATAAATGTATATTAGGCAAAATAGCAAGAAGCTCCAAGGTACAGGTAGATGATAATCCTGTGCATGGGTAAAGTTGCAAAGCTGGAATTCTTTTTAATTGATTTTATTCAGAGACTAGTAAGGCTGACAGAAGTTGCAAAATCTCTAGTGACTTTTCTGATTTCTTTTCCTTTCTTCCCCAGCTATTTGTATTTATTGTATGGCTTTATAGACAGCTCCAGACAAGCCAGGGGTGAAGAGATATGCTGCTTTCTAGTTCAAGGTGGAGTACTTTCAATACTAGTGGTCAAGTCTACTGTTAGCAGAGGACCTAGAAGGTTATGTGCATTGACATAGCTATAAAGAAGGTAGTTCCAAAGTAGTTTCCTACCTAGTGTTACAAGATCATGACTCTTCTCATGACTTTTCATGAATTCAATATAGCAGAGACTGTTTTGGTATCCAGCTGGTGGTATATCCGAACTCCTCCTGTCTTCACAATACATCATGCAAACTCATGCCAGTTGTTTGTGCTAATGGTTATTTTTGCGCTCTCTTTTTAAAGATTTAACCTCTGGGACAGTGCCTCTGCAGGTATATTCAGGAGACTTGATGGTGGGAGAAACAAGTGTAACTTACCATACTGACATGGAGGAAATAAGCAATCTGTTGGCTAATGCAGCCAACCCTGTACAGTTCATGTGCCAGGTAAGGACTTTAGCAATCAGCTGCTTTGGAAACCAGATCTTTCAGAGGATAGACAAGCTGGCATAAGCAAAAGTGCTTGCCATGAAGTAGCTCTTGTGAAATAAAGAAATGCCTAACTCTAATCCCCTTTTATTGAAAGCATGGGTGTTTTTTTCTGTCTTTGGAGCACATAGCTGACTAAGGTAAGTCAGATTATCAAACAAAGAAAAAAAATGTGGTCAATCAACAGCCACATTTAGACCTTGATGACTACGAAAGGTTGGAATGACAAAACCTGATATAACAGAAAGTACCGTAAAGAAAGAAAATGTTTTGGAATTTGTACCTAGCCATTATTAAAAAAAATATATATAAATAGTAGAAAAGAGTCATATTAGCTGGAGGAAGCAGAGTAACATAAAATGATTCATTGATTCGTAAAACTTACTTTTTCAATACAGTCACTCAGTTTTCCTATTCTGTTTTGCCCAGTTGGGGTACCTGAACCCTATTAGAGGGGTGAAGCTTACACAAGGAAGTTTTCTGCTGTGTTGCCCTGTTGCCTGCCTGCATGTTCCTGATGTCATGTAGTGGAAGCCCAAAGAGTAGCCTTGTTAATCACCAGGATACCTGGGGCAGAGAAGACTGTGTTTCCCTTGCTTTTTAGTTAAAGCTGTGTAGCAGTTGGTACTGGTTGATGCCTCTGCTTAGAGAGTATGCTTGCTTCCCAGTGGTAAAGAACCAGTTCAAAAGCCAAACCAGCATGTGTACAATTCAAAATGGACTAGTGCAAACTTAAAGCAGGAGTGACATTTCATTGGAGCACTTTCAGAAGTGTATACCTGCCAAGAAAGTAGGAAGCAAGTTTTTTGTGCTTCCAGTTGCATGAGTGACTTTCTCATTGTGCTCTGTCTTGTGGAGTATACAGGTCTCATCTATTGAGCTTGATGATACTGTTTCTGCACCAGGAAACTATCCAGGTTCTTTGACTTGAACATTTCTACTTTTTGTGTTTATACCTACTGTTTTCTGATTGTGTTAAATAATAACGACAACATATAAATCTCACCATAACTGAATCTCCAGACTCTACCAAACAAAAGTTCTTTCCATTTCTCTGTAGGCCTTTAAAATTGTGCCATACAGCATAGAAGCCCTGGACAAACTATTGACTGAATCTCTCAAGAAGAACATTCCTGCCAGTGGTCTACACCTGTTTGGAATCAACCAGCTGGAAGAAGAAGATATGACAGCAAGTAAGTTTAAAGATGCTTGGTTTATTTTTTGGTTTTCTTTGTATCAGTTGTTTTATCTTGAAGCATCTTAACACTGTAGTGGGTGGTACCTGCACAGGCTGTCTCAAAAACCTTGGATCTCAGCTAAGAAGCTAAATTTCTGATGATGTCTATAGAAAGGGAATTGCCATTTGAGTCAGGTGACCCTTTTTTATTACATGTATAATTCCGACTTCCCTGCACTGTGGCAGATGCTATATAGACAGCTTCAAACCAGAGTGAAAAGATGATGCTCCCCAAATGTCTCCCTGGTTTTCTGTTTTGTTCTTTTCTGTCTCATGTGTCTTTTTTCCACAGCCCAGTCCTTTTCCCCAAACTGCATAACTCTAAGATACACAGTGGGCACTGAGCAGTTGAGTCGGTATGCTGTCTTTTTGTTGTGATGGTCTAAGAAAGAAGACCTTGCAAATCTGTGATGCTACATACATTTAAGCTATTACAGTGCCATATTCCCCACTAAGGTTATAGGACTTAAGCCTGGAGATACACGAGATAATTTGTGTAGTTGGCTTGATTTTGAAACCATATATATACTTCCAAGGATTTCACAGCTGCTTTGATCTGTGTGTTTCTGTGTCTGTTTCTCACTAGCTCTGTTGCTACTAGAGAAAAGCTTAGCTTCTAATTGGCTCCTGTTCTCACAGATCAGAGGGATGAGGAGTTGCCAACACTGCTTCACTTCTCGGCAAGATACGGGCTGAAGAACCTTACTGCCTTGCTGCTTACATGCCCTGGAGCACTGCAGGCCTACAGCGTAGCCAACAAGTATGGCCACTATCCAAACACCATAGCAGAAAAGCATGGCTTTAAGGATCTCCGCCAGTTCATTGATGAATATGTGGTAAGAGGAAGCTGAACTGTCTTTCTGCCTCGTCCCACACTGGGTGCAGGCTCTGGCACAGAGCTTGGCACTTTGTGTTACTTGAGCAGGAATGATGGGGTGATAAAGTATGTTGTGGTAGGGTGTAGAACACAGACATCCAGCCACACTGAAAGCTTTCAGGCTGGAGGGTTAGGTGCATCTCTGGAGCCAGGGAAATTCCTGGGGCTTTTGCACACAGCAAGTAAGATGGAAGCAGAGACTGCCATGCTGGCTTCCATTCCTCCATCCATCTAATGAAGTTTCTGAGGAGATGTGGCTGGTGCGTAGTGCATTCTTCTAGTTCTGATCTCGGGAAAGAGCCCCTTCATCCAGCTTACTTTAGGGAGTAATATGGGAACAGAATATGTTTGGGAAGATACAATTTGAGGTGCTCTCTTATCAGCTATTGTATGGGCAGGGCTGCTTACTAGCTCATTCACAGCTGATCTGTGTATTCTGCGTGTTCCAGCTGATACCCATTTCTCCCTACATTGATATAGCTGTCCATTCCCTCTTTGTTCTGTCAGGGATCCCAATTCACAATTCATTTCTATTTGAGCTAACCCCACCCCCAGAAAACACACTCTGACTTTTCCAGATTATGACATGGACCTGACTCCAGCTGCACCAAGCAATTGTTTCTGTGTAGTACTTGGGTATGCATAGAGTTTCTCCTTTTGTTTAAGTTTGAGCTGTTTCTGGCCTGTATGCTTCAAAATAACAAGAAACTCCTTGATTCAGATCACATTGACCACATCTGAATTCTCTTTGCTTAGGTGGAAAAGTTGTGTTTAATTGTCCTTAACATTGTCTCAGTGCTGGGTGATAGATCTGCCAGCTTTAGTATGGTTCTGCCAGCCAATTACTGAAGTGTTGAAGCTCTATTTAGGAGGCATGGGTAGTTCTTGGACTTGGGCCTTGCTTCTTGACATTATACATTAGAGCTAAATAAAAGTCATTCCATATTCTGAGATCAGGAGGGCTGCAGAAACTGTAAATTGTGTGATCACAATCTTTGCATCGGGGTAAGTGAGAGATGTGCAGGAAGTCCTTCCAGCCTCTCATTGCAGTACTGTGCTCCTCCCATATTCTCTCCACCAGCAGTGACAGAGCTGTGTTAAGAGCAGGTCCTCCTTACTGAGCTGCTGAAGCTGTTAGTGCAGCACAGTACAAAGCACACAAATCACCTGCAACAGTGTGACTACTGCAAGGTAGTGACTACTATCAGTAGTATGGATGTCTGAAAATTTCATTAAACCCCATTACTCACCTAATTTTCTTTCTGGCAAAGGTTCCTCTGCACCTCTGTAAAGCATTGCATGAACTACTGGCCTGACACATTTTGACTGTGGAGGGAAGCATGTGTAGACAGCTTTGACACACATGCCCTGTGGATTGAGGGCCCATGAGTCTGCATTTCTGAATGGAAAAATATCTTTTAGTATTGCAACTGTTAAGGTGGTGCTTGTGACATAATTGGAATTTGGGAAGAAGGATGGGATGAAGTTTTACATTTTGCTTCCTTGTGTTGTGATTTGGTGAAGTTCTGCCTTCCTCCCCATTCTATGTTGCAAATGCATAAGAAAGGATTCTGCTCTCCTGTGAATCAGAAGTTGTCTGCTGTGAGGTTTCCTGTTAATATCACAGAAAAGGGTCTGTGTACTCCCACTCTAGGTGTTACATGCTGCTGCTAATGCCAAGAAACTGAAACTGAATCTACATCAAAGCTAAAACTTTGCTATTTTGCAGGTGCTCTGCATGTGATAAGCTTTGCCCCTTATGGTTAGCTATGTGTACCCCAAAATAGCCTTCGACAAGCATTTGTATTTTTAGAATGAGCTGTGCTTATGTTCTGGGAGTTTGCAGACATTGGGTAGGACAAGAAAGTGACAGGGTGAGAGGCTGTAATGGCTACTCAGAACATGTCAGCAGCCCTTGTTTCACCTTTGTTACCTGTTAATACAATATAGATCTCAAAAGTTTGACCCAGACAGCTGTAAAGGGGATTTAAGTCACTTGAGAAGCCTTAATCTTTGGGAATGAGCTGTCTTCAGAGTTTTTTTTCTATCACTAATGACAAAGTGAAGTATCTTTTGCTTGCTTTTATTCTCTAGATTCTTTATTTAAAAGACACTTAAATTTTTTTCTTGCCCTCCTTCCTCTCCAGGAAACTGCAGATATGCTAAAGAGTCACATTAAGGAAGAGCTGATGCAAGGCGAGGAGGATGAGTCTGTATATGAGTCCATGGCTCATCTGTCCACTGATCTGTTGATGAAATGTTCCTTGAATCCAGGCTCTGATGAAGAGCTTTATGAATCCATGGCTGGATTTGTCCCGGGTGCCCCAGAAGATCTTTGTATGTATATTGATAGAGTTACAGAATTATGGAAAGGTTTGGGTTAGAAGGTACCTCTAGAGCTCACCTAGTTCAAGCCCTCTGCAATGGGCAGAAACATCATTAGATCAGATTGCTCAGACCCATCTCTTACACACAATAGCACCTCAGTTACAGCTTCTCTGCTCTCACCACAAGGAAACTATGCTGCAGTTCTAACACTGGCTGACTGACAAAATTGCTCTATACCTTTTCTTAATTGGTAGTATACAAGATCAAGAGCTGTTTCCTTCAGTGTTTTGAGGACTCCCTGGACCCTGAGCAAATAAAGTAAAATATATAAATGAAAGTAAACTTTCTACCGTGCCCTGCTTTTTCCTCCTGAGGACTGGGTACCTAGAAACATTCTGACACTGACAGAAAAGAGCACTGTCAGATGTGATTTTACTGACAACTGGGAAACTGAAAAACAAGACCTGAGATTCTAGCTCAACAACTTGAGAGCAAAAGAAAGCAAACATCTAGAAATATATGTACCAAAAAGATTATAAGTGAAAAATCATTCTAATCTCATTGGTTTATTGCTAAAATTGAAGAGCTAATTCTGATAAATATGCATACGTTTAACCTTTTCACTATTGCATTAATATTCGGTGAGGCCAATTGAAAATACCAAATTAAATACCTCTATTAAGCAATTGTAAATTTGCTGTTCTTACTCACCTGTCTATTTGGTCTGACTTAATCCCACTGATCTATTTTATATTTCCCATAATGACCAGATAATTTAGCTTCTTATATTTTAAGTACTTCCTTAAAGTTACTTAAGGACTTCTAGTGTTTCTGCAGTTTTTAAGTGTGCTGCGTCAGAGGAAAAGCTTTCATTTTGAAGCACTTCTGTGTATGGGCTATATTGGTCAAGGACTGTTTTTCTCCTCTTTTAGATTAAATTATACTATAAAACACATTTTTGTTGATTATGAAGTCCAGAAGACCGTGTTGGTTCTTTCCTTGAAATCATAAACTATTTTCTGCCAAGTGTTGTTGGCCACTGCAGGGATAGTTTTGCTATGAAAACCAGGATTTTTCTGCCTTCAGGTAGAAATAAGCTGTAAATCAGGTTGGACTTGAAAGGAACAAAGCTGCTGTTGTTTGCAGTAATGAGTGAGAGTTTCTAGATGCTTGGTAGGTCTGCCTGTAATCAGTGCACCTTTGAATGGGTTGATTGACTAAGCCTGTGGAGGGTTAAAAAACAAACCTCAACACTACTAAGCCAAACTCCCCTTCTTCCAGGCCTGAAATGCCCAGATCTCGCAGAAACTATGCATGGAGTTTTGCAAATTGAGCTCCCTGTAATTTAGCACTTTTGAAGTGGACCCTGAAAAGCCTCCCTTTCCTGCTTCTTCTGGAGTTCTACAGTGTTGCTTCTGCACACAAAGTTCTGCTGCCTTCCATTCAGGAGTCTTATTGAAATTCTGTTTTTCTTACCTGGTCTGCTAGTCTTTGCCTGAAGAATATTAACAGCTTGTCTGAACAGTGCTTAAAATCTACCTGTATTATAACAGATAAATTTAAATTGGCACAATTCTCAACACTTTGATTCTCTCCAAGTGAAAGTGTTTCAATATCATTTAGAATACCAGCACACAGTCAAACCCTCATGAAATTAATGGGAGTGCTGGCTGGTTTAGAGCTGCCATCACAAATAAAGGATTTAAGCTTTTGTACTGACCTGAAGGTTTGTGAGGATGGCTCACTAGGAATCATAACTAATTTCTCTTGAAGTACTTTTTCTAGGAATTACCTGTATGTGAGCAGATACAGCTGTGGTGTAGAGGATAATACCTGGGCTATTTTAGGTGTAACCATACTGTGGCAGTGTGCCCCTTTATTGTGATCAAGATGTGCTTCCACCACAGTTTTTCAGAGACTGATCAAAGGAAGGTTAGATACCACAGGGTCAATTTTTCTGGTAGGAACTCCTTTGAGAAGAAGGTAACAGAGGACTGAAGCCATTGTAATGAGTTAAAAGTATTTAATAATCTCACATGTAACCCAAACTATCTAGTTTACATAGTATTAGATCTATGACATAGATCTCAAAAATTCACTTATATCAATAAGCCTCAGCAATCCATCTATATCACTCTTGTTTTTAATATCATTAGGCACATGGTTGCCTAGCATTTTATTTTAGTTTTAAGATTAGCTTTAGCATTGTGATGTCCACCTTTTTCTTTAAAATCAGAACTCTTTATGTCAAAACACTCAATTAACAAAGTATCTTATTGTTTGCTGTCAGTCCTTTCTCAATACTGAATTTTCATCTGACCCTCTAAACACTTTCCAGATCCAAGTAATTAACTCAGCCAACTGTTTTGACTTTATTCCAATAAATAAAACAAACACTATCTTGCATGTTGTCATGGGAAAATTGCCTTTAATGTCTTGTTTTTCCAAGCCACATGGCTTCCGCTCTGGAGCACTGTGCAGAGGTCAAAACTTTCACCTGGCCAACACACGCTCAAGAACAGCCAAAACTCAATGCCTTCTTGAAACCTTGTCAGAACTTCTCAATAGCATTGTTAGTCACCCTCAAGTGTAAGCATCAGGCAGCTGGAAAAAATTTGTGCAGAATGGACTGAACATAGCAACTTAGAAGCCTTTTTCAAGGAAAATGTCTGGTCATTTGCCCATCTTCTTTGATTGTCACACTATAAAGTAAAGGTCCAGTTTATTATGTCATAATACATTGTTCCGTGTATTGAAGGCTATAATTAACAGATTTATCTTTCTGGTGGTTTTTTTTTCAGATGTAGAGATGCTTCAATCCAAACCAGACACTTCATTTGCTGGAGATGAAGTTTCTATAACTACAAAAGACTCAATGCTCCGCAAGTTTTTAGAAGGTGAGACCTATTTTTAGGGAAGGATGGCAATAGCACAGTTAAAGCAACTAAACAGAACCTGAGAGTTCTTCATGAACTCTTAAGGATAGAAGATAGCCCATTCAGTTTGCTTTTTTCAGACAAAGGACTAATTCTCTATAGTACTTTGTAGACCATCATATATAGCTTTTGGAAACCATTGGTTTCCAAAAACCACTATTAAAGTATGTTAATTAACTGAAATTAATTAAAATTAACTGTTAAACTATGTTAATGAAAGTATGTTAATTAAAATTGATTAAAATTAACTGTTCCTCAAATTCTTAAAGAGATTTAGTAGTTTTTTCACTATTTCTTTAAAAGAGATGGTACAGGCATAATGGCAAACCGTTACATGCTAGATGTAATGACTTTTCCAAATCCTGTAATGAAGGTCTTTGGTACATTTAAGGCACTGCAAAACTGGATGGTTTTGGCTGTGAAATGGCCAACTTGGTAAGAATGTGGTACATAATGGATCTGGAGGGAATCAGTGTTCAGTGAAGTGGCCAGGTTGCTATTCTTACAAACTCTGCTCTGTTGTAGGTGGTAGCATGGATGCGCCAGATTCTGAGGAAGGAGGTCACGAGCAGTATGGTGAAGATGTGTACTACTCAGTGGAACAAGACCCTTTTCCACAGGAAATGGCTAACAGACCTCCAGTTCCTGTTCCAAGACCAGAATCTAGCTCTCCACAGCCTGACAATGAGCTGTACATCTCCAAAAGTGAGTTGGTTACCAGTAGAAATGTAGACCAGTAAACTGTAGAATGGCATTGACCTGGGCTCCATTTGCCAAATACATGCCGGGATCACTGGATTATTTGACTCTGGAGCTAGGTTACCTTTGGGATCCAATTCTGTATCTGTTTTTTCATCTTTTGCCTACTCTGAATGTGGGGATGTTATATCCCAGGATCTTAGCCTAAGCTTGCTATAGTACAAAAGGCACCCCCGACTGGGAAGAAATGATGATGTTTGGCTTTAGATTAGAAAGCTGAAGGATAGTTTTAATAAAACTATACTATATGACATAAATATATTATTTAAAGAGAGACTATTTTATTCTACACATATATTACGTACTTATTAACTAACAAACTTGTGACTACCTGTTGAGAGTTCAAGACACAGCTGAATTTAATTGGTCATTGAACTCAAACAACTTTTACTAGAATTTAATCAAGTAATCACTTCAGGTAAACAATCTCTATACCAAATTCCACATGGGGAAAACAAAGGAGCAGTGATAAAGATTGTTTTCTCTTCTTCTCTCTGTGCTTCTCTTGAGTGACAGAATTATGTCTCTCTGTCCAGAGAATATGAATGCCACAAGCTTGCTCTTCATGAAAGTAGTATCATGACAGATTACCCCCAAATGGAATAAACAAATCCAACTAAGTAGGAAAGATCCTGATATTATAAGGACACAATCAAGCTAATAATTGGGACATTGCTGATCTGTAATGCTATCATTGATTCAACCTCATTTGTACAGGACATGATTTTATACCTCAGTACCTCCCTCTCAGGTGGGGTTTTATTGAAATTGAAGGTTGTTCCTCCTAGTTCATTAGGCAGCTTTGGATATCTAGGTCATATATCATGAACATTTTAACAAGAACCACAATGACATGTGAGAGAGTAATTTCAGTGACCTTTCCCACTCTGACAGGACTATGGGAAATCATGTCTAGATGTCTCTTAGAGGTGGCTGAGCCAAATTCTTTGAGGTCAATAGAAAGGGAATTCTGCCATAAAAATCTTCTTCAATGGACTTAAAAGTGTAACAGAAGCTGTAAAGCAGTGTAGAATTGTGTATGCTTGCCATATTCATTCTTGCTATTTCTAATCTTCATGGAATGCATTTCAGTATCTAAAGAATGTTTCTTTTTGCAGTTTTTGCACAGAAGGCTCAAAGGCCTGAGAATCTTTATGTCCCTAGAGGAAGGGTTAAGAAAGGTAAGGCAGAAGTTCACCCTGAAAATCCTTTCAGTAATCCAAAAGCATATCTGTTATGGTAGCTTCATTTGTGTGAAATATGACAGAATAGACTGTTTTGCAAAGTTATGGGGATAACTGTCCTCTATGAATGACCTAATCTTTTTACCATTTGTGACACTGGAAAAATTTATAAGTGCAGAGTGTGAGGGGAGCACATCTCATGTCTTGGGAACTCTTCTTTATGTTACAAATGAGTCTTCAGTTTCTGGGCTTAAACTACACAGATTACCTAGATAGAATCTAGCTTTGTGGCTGCTAAGGTAAAAGCTCTGATCTGTGAATTGCTGAGGAAGCATGGTGCTGTAAGGAATGTTTTGTGTTCTTTACTTAAATTATGTTTTTAAGACCAGAACTTTCCCTGGGATATATTTGTGTATGAGGCTACCTCTCAGCTGGGCTTTTAGACCTGACAAATAGTAGGATGGCCTAAGAAGAAAACACTTCTTAGGAAACACTCAGTCTGTAATACTTTTCCCCCCCTTTTTTTCTTTTTTTTTTAATGCCTGCCATATCAAGGGAACTCGATCTCTTTGTATTCAGTGAGGAAGGTAGATCCACAAGTTTAATAATATTTTTGCTGGTGCTCTCTCCTCAGAGACAATAATCAGGCCTGTAAGAGACCTGTCTCAATCAAGTATATATGATCCATTTGCTGGAATGAAAACCCCAGGTCAACGGCAGCTGATAACATTACAGGAGCAAGTGAAAATGGGGATCCTCACTGTGGATGAAGCTGTACTTCATTTTAAGGAGTGGCAACTGAACCAGAAAAAGAGATCAGAATCCTTCCGGTTCCAGCAGGTACAGACTTATGCTACTGTTTAAGAAATATAGCTGTCTCTCTAGGTATATATCACAAGCTTCTCAGCATGGGTACACTTTTTTCCTGGTTGGAGCAGGAAGACTGCTAACATAGCTAACAGAGTTTTCTCCTGAGAGCTGTTCCAAATAATCAGCAGACAGTTTTACAGATCTGTTTGTCTTGTAGTAATATTGTCAGATTTTGAAGATCTGTATGCAAGGAATTGGATCAAATCCAGTTGGCTAAATCACCTTTCTAGAGGTCACCTAGCACCTACCTGTTGGCAGGGGACTTCTGTGATGAACATTTAACTTGTTGGTTCTCATCCATTTCAGATCAGTGAAGGCTCTGTGTCCCAGATGATGTTTGGGCTGTAAAGCCCTAGTTGGTAGATGATCTGATTCCTCCAACTGTTTGTTGATGGCTACGTGACTGTGCATTGCCGCTGGGCAAGGTCTAGCAACGGTCATTAGTAAAAGCAGAGTGTTTGGGTGCCTTAACAGAAAGAGGGAGTCAGTTGGCAGCAGTGACATAATGGCTGGTGGAACTATCAGTTATAGTTTAAGATTTTCATTCTCAAGTTAGAGTGAGGCTCCCTCTTTAAAACCAGTGCCTGCTTCTTTTAGAGCCTTTTGTTCATGCTGTGGCAGTCTGGTCTCCAGTGGGTGACATTGTTTTGGAAGTTGCCAGAACAAAGGCAAAGCTTTTCTCCTCCTGATTCTCACTTGGAAAGGTGCTCTCTACCCAGAAGCAGTCGGAGGAGTCCCTTCTTCTACCAGAGAAGAACACAGTGCTATTTAAGTAAATTGATGTAGAAGAGATGAAGTGGCATGCACTGTGGCCCATGCCATGATTAGCTTTCAAAGTCTCTGAATTTTGCTTCAGCAGCTGCTTCCTCTGCTTTTCAGCAGTGTCCTCCTCTCAGATCTGTACATATTTCCCCAATGAAAAAAGTTGTCTTTTTTCTCCCTATCTTTTTGTACTGTAAGGTGTAATATGCTGCCACACAATGGTATAGAGTCTTTGCTCCCAGTTACATTTCTTCATTGGGGATATCCTGAATTCTGAGTTGTACCTTACACTCTAGGATGCATGGCAATCTTACATGTCCCTGCAGTCAGAATAATCTGTTCATTAGTACAGAAAGGACAGTGCAGTTACTTGATTGTAGGTCTTGTTTCTGTGCCAGTGTCACAGCAAAGAGAAAATACAGGGGGCTGTAAATCCAATTTGCTGCTTATGTGCAACTGCCCGTATGTGACCTTAACATACATCATGAACATCAGAAAAAAAACTTGGCTTCTGAAAGGAACAGATTAAAACCTGTTGACATGGTTAGGACTTCAGCCAGGTCTAACAAGCTTTGTTACAGCTTGACTGCAAAGTTAGCTAAAATATAATACTGGTTTTGTCAAAAAGCTGCTCATCTTCCCTTATCCAAAGCCCTGAAAAGAATATCTTGTGGTGTTTTTAGGAAAATCTGAAACGTCTACGAGACAGCATAACCAGGAGGCAAATAGAGAAGCAAAAAAAACACAAAAGTGCAGGTAACAGTCTTTGATACTGATGTTCTCTGGTAATGAAGCATCTAACCATATTAATAAGCTCTTCAAGCAGATATGTGTTCCATGTGTATTGTGGTTCTATGATATTTTAATATGCATATCCATGTGCCATTTGGCAAAAACTTCGGGAAGTTGGTTTGCTCCTCACTTTCACAGCCAAGAAAAGGATGCCCCCATTTGTGTGATTCATTCATGTACAATTATGATTATCTTCATGCAATTGTGTTTAACTCTGTCCTTAAGTGCAAAACTCTCTCTTGGGGGCTACAATCACATAGACCTTTTTCTTCATTTTCCCTTCCAGATTTGGAAATTACAGTACCCATTCGACATTCTCATAATACTTTGGGGAAACCAGAATGTGGAATATATGAATACACCCCCAGGAGAAACGTTTTTCCACCAAAAAAGGAGTTAAAACGAGGAGACTGGAAAACAGAAAGCACATCCAGCACAACAAGTAAGCAACCACTGAGCATCACTGTCCCTACTGGAAAGCTGGATGGAACACACTTCCCATGTCTTACCCTGGAGTCAACCCAGGGGACAAGACTTTTGGTCCTGAATCCCAGCACTGACAATGCCACCCCAAACCTTGCATGCCTCAGACCAGCTGTTCTCAAAGGTGTAAAAGCAATTCCAGGTGTGCGTCAAGTGGTTTGGGCATCTTGTGTCTGCATCTCTGCAGGAGGAGAACGTGAAAGCTGAGTGAAAGATTCTCTTGAGCCCTTCTCAGGGAAGGCATACCACCTGTGTTCAGATCTTAAAAGTAGATGGCAGCTGCTCCCTTATTGGAAAGGATGCTCCCATGCTGTGACTGCTAGCAGGCTGTGTGCTCTTCTGGCCTGAAGGGCTGGAAACCAGTCTGTACATGTTGTTTCTTCAATTGCTTTACATAAAGGACAGCATTTTTCATTGGTAACTGTGGGACCTCTTGAGTGACTTGGGCAGTCTGCACATTTTTATCTTTGCTTTTCATTACATTTAATTTTTGAAAATTAAATCCCTGCATTCTTGCTCTTACTGCAGACTGAGCAATTCTTGCAGAAATCATTTGGGATCAGTTGGGTCCTTTGACAGGAAACCTGACTTCCTGTGAGGTTACCACCTTTGTGACTCTTGGCAAGATGCAGCTGGCATACATCCAGAATAGGTACCAGAGGCAGCTGGCTGAGGCAGTAACTTGCATACAAGCACATGTGAGAGAAGCACTAACAAGTCTGCAGAGCTCTCTGTATGCAGCCTGGCACTCTTCCTCGGGTGTGATGGTGAGAATGGACCCTACTACAGTATTTAGCACTCTTAAGTCTTGCTGTTTGTACCAACTGATGAGACTTACCAAAGCAACAGGGAGGGACTGCATCTTGAGAAAACTTCTCTAGCCACCAATTCAGTGTACAGGTTTCTGAATATTAGTGTCCCAGTATTTCACAGCCTTATAGAATGTAATCTATTTAGGACTGAAACCAGCCAGAACAGTGTAGGATATGTTTGTGAGTTGCTGTCACCTTTGGAATTGGCATGACTGATTGAAGAAACAATCCCTACTCTGAGTCCATGACAGTTTAATGGGTTTGCATAGATGGGTGCTGAAGGTTGTTTGAACAAACTTGGTTTTAGCTTGGAAATAGACTAGGAAACATTCCTGTGATGATTGAGGATTGTTGTAAGAGGGGGTAGTAAACAGTTATTTATTTGGAGCAATAACTTTTTAAGTAGTAACTCCAGGAATGAATATGTGACAGCACTCAGCCATCTATCTTCATGCAGGTGTTAAAGATATGGAGACTGATAATTTAAAGGTACATAAATGTTGGGTGTGTAACCTTTGTGAAAATATTTGCCTGACTTTCCAGATGATATTGGCATTGCATCTTTTCAGTTAGATTATGGTTGTGAGTATTTAACCAGAAGACTGGATAAAGAAAGATAAGGCAGAAATGTTCTAGAAAGAAAGCATAATTTAATGGTTTGGTCCTGTGGTATGAAATGCTGTTGTTTGGATCACAATTATATTTAAAAAACAGTGAAAATAAATTAATCTAAACAAGAATTAATTATATTTGCAAGAATTAAGCATGAGTTTAGAAAGAGCCCTGAGTTAGGGATTTGCAGTTAAATCAGCAGGGTTTATTAATCAGTTTTTCTTTTGCTTCCTCCAGGTAGTGCAAGTAACCGCTCCAGCACTCGGAGTATATTGAGTGTCAGCAGTGGGATGGAAGGGGACAGTGAGGTAAGCTCTCACCTCTGCTATGTACTGCTCTGCTGTCCTTAGGTACATGCCTGTGTTTTCATGCAGAAAAAAGAGCTCAGAGCTGGCATTGCATTTAGAGAAATGCCACAACTGCTTTGGTGAGGATACTAAGGACCAGATTCTGCTGTTCTGTAAACATTTCTCTTCATTTTGTAGGACAGTGAAGTCCCAGAAACAGCAAGGAGCCGCAGCCCAATTTCTCACCAAGTAGAGAGGCTTCCTTTCCCAGAAAGGCCTCCCAGAGTGCCTCCTCGAGGTGCAAGCAGGTAAAACTAAAATGCAGCTCAAAATGTGTGCTTTCAGTGAATCCTTATGGAAGCCTTGCACAGAAAGCAAGGCAGTTAGCAAAGGCAGAAAGTGAGTGTGTTTTTGAACAAAATCAACTAGACTGCTATCTGTCAGCACATAGTGTTAGGAGCTGTAAGGTCATTGTTTCTCATGTATGTGTGGAGGAATATGTTTCCTAGTTGGTAACAAGGCTGTTGCAGTGCTGTCCCTGTGGTTTATGCAGAGCGAGGGGCAGCACTAGTGAAGCACACAACGCTTGCCATAGCAAGACTGACCCAGGTGGAGTTACATCCTGCCCTTGGCAGAGATTTAGTACTTGCCCCTCCTGAAAATATCCTCTTGGAACATACAAAGTGTAGCTCAGGGAGAAGTTATTTTTGGCATTCTATTGGACTTTTTCTTTTTGCAAAGTTCAGATCTCTCCAAAGCAAGTATGTTTACATGTGTTACTGGCCTCAAAGAAAGAACTGCACTGGTTTTATAAAAGGTGTTGAGAAGATTTGGATAATAAACTTAAATAACTTTGTGGGGAATAGACTTCATAGATTTTCACTGGTTGGACTAAAGGAATGTTTAAAAGTTAGCACAGATACTAGTAAAATTCTCCAACTCTTAAAGCAGTAATTGCTACTGTGTGGGGGCAGCAAGGTCTGTGTTGCTGTTGGCTTGGCTTTGGCAAGGAAATAGCTGGAATTTATCTGCAGTTAGTTTGAAAAAAGGTTTTGAATCTTTTGATCTTTTCCTATTGCACCGTTATTTCAGGAGAAAGCTACCATACTATCAAAGTTTTACTCCAAACAACTATTATACCACCTCTTTGCAGTAATAGTAGAATTACTGCAGCTTAATGACAGAAGAAATAGCTTGGATAGGAACAGTGCCCTGGCAGCTTGGCATCTGCTCTGTTGCTCAATCAGGCTTTTTTCTTCTTGTATGACTACTGATTGTACAGTATGTTTACATATGATGTTATTGCAGAACTCTATTTTCTACTACTTTTACATGCATTTTCATTATCTGTCTTTTTATAGGCCTGTAAGCTGTGAAGGCTTTTATCCTCCACCTGTGCCCCCAAGAGGTCGCTGAATTTCTCAACATCTGTGGAATATGAGATATTTTTTGTTTATATATGTGTTTGTACAGATATTTTTTGGGCTGCGTTAAATTATTTATAAGTGGGACCCAAATAATTTCATCCTCCCTGAAGCTCTGGTGACTTTTCCCATGATTTTCACTGGGACCTTTTGGTGTTCTATAACTTTTTTTTAGTTGGAAGAATTTTGGTGCTTTGGGGCTTCAAGAAAAGGTATCATCATGGGGAAGAACATTGTGTATCTTGGGAGCCCTGCACCAACATGAAGATCCCATTTGATCAAGAAAGCACACGTGTCCTTTTAGGAACTAAATCCTGATCAGCATAGTTACCAAACCTCAGTATGGTCTACCAGGGCTTGACTGGAAAACATGCTTAAAAAGTAAAGAAAATAAGATGTTTAAAAAATGCTCATTACATCAGGAACAGGTGAATGTACTACTGCTTGGCATAACATTTTGGATACAATTATACTGACCTTTCAGAAGGTGCAGCATCCCCCTTTAGCAATCATTAAACCATGGGGGATGAGAAATTGTCTTCAAGAATGTATTTTGCATACAGCCTTGAAAATGCCTTTCCTTTTCCTGTTGGCTTCCTGAAGAGGACAGACAATGTGTTGTATTTGTCCTATTTACCATGAAAATTCCCAAGACAGCTGGTAAGGGACCTTCTGTATCCCAGACAAACTGTGCTTAAACCTTTTTCAGGCAGGGTGTTACAAAATCACATGACTGATCTCTCAAATTAGAGAAGGACTTGGTGGCAGTGCTGTGTTCTGTGTCTCTTACATGTGGTCATTATGCAGCAATATGAAGGCATTTCACTTCATACTCTGGAACAGTAGTGAGTCTCCAATTACTGGTGCACACCTCTCACAAATACCAGCTGTATTTTAGCTGGCTGCAGTGGGAACAGACAGCCTGAGGCTGGGCTCTGCTTGCTCTAGTGTCCCTTTCTACCAATGTGAATCTGCAGCAGCTATGTGCAGCCCTTTTTCTGAATGAGGGCTTACAAACTTAAGGAGACTTCCTGGTCTGGCTCTCTTCCAGAGATCTTCTGTGCATTGAAAGACAATTTAAAGTTCTGGTTGTCCATGAATGGCACAGATGGGGATCTGCAAGATAGCATTCAGGGTAGAGAATTAAACATCATTGCATACTTGGTTTTCAGGGATGAAAAAGGGGGGTAATGGCTTGAAAAACAGACAGATCTGTATTAGGTGATCCCTCAGGTATGGGTAGGACATGTAGAGCTTCTGTCTGATCCTGTCAGCTCCCCTTCATCTGTAGGAGAGCAGGTGACAGGGTTGCAGTTCCTTCTCTTGCAGGGTGGCAAACCCAGTGCAAAAGTGACAGCAACCATGACTTGACCAGCACTGAATGAAGACGGAGAACCCCCTGCTGCTTTCAGGGATGTCGGAATCTGTGGTATTGATGATTCTGGGATTGTAAAAAGTCTCTGTCTTTCTGCCCCCTTGCCAAAGAAGAAGCCATAATTCGTCTGTGCTGTTTTCAAGGTTGTTTATTCTTGCTTATCTCTAACATGTTCTGCTGCCCTGCCGCAGGTCTGTCCTGCAGGGCAGCGTGTGGGGCTCTGGCCCTCAGTGGGATGTTACAAACATTATATACCAGAAACTACATGTGCTATATTTACAATAATGTGCCAATATCTGTCACCTATGTTGAACAGTGTGTCCCCAGCCTAAACCAATAGAAAAGTGCCAACAATACAGTGAAACATGGAGGGCATGAAGAAGGAGAAAAAGGACAAAACACACCCAATTTCCTCCATCTTGTGCCCTTTGGACCCCTAATCTAGAATCCTAAAATTTCACTTTTGCACCTGTGCCACACTTAATTATTGTTCATATCAAACACTCAGAGCTTTTAATTCATCCTGTAAGATTGAAAACTCTTTTCCATGGACAGAGATCAGAGACAGTGTCTCTCGGAGCTCTGTGCAGGGGGGTTCCTGACCCCCTGCCAGGGTCCCAGGCCCTCCAGGGCAGCCAGAGGGAAGCCCTGGATTCCCACACAGGGATATAGGCATATGCTAAATATCACCTGTACATTAGGCTCAGAGGATTTGGGAGCTTCCAAATATAGTTCATAAATCCTCTCCTTTTGATGGCAGAGGGATGCAGGTGTTGTGCTGCATACACAGGACAACAGATACACAGGTGTCCTTTCTGTTTTTTTTTAATTTATTTTATTTTTAAAGGAACCTCAGTGCTGTCTCTGGTAACTGCCACTATAGATTCACAGCAAATTTGCTTTTGTTCGCTGTAGCCAGGGGAATGGTGAGAGCTGCCTTCCTGTGCTCTTCTTGGAATGAAACAAGATTTCCAGCTCTATTACCTCAAATTGGAAGGAGGTTTTGGTGCTGAAATGAGGAAAATAGTAACAAGGATAAGTGAAGAAATTAGGGATAAAAGAGATAAACCAAAAGAAATTCAGCAGCTTGATTGTGTTTAGCTGTCACATGTATTGGTTTGCCCACAGTTCCCTGGTTTTGCTCAAAAATTCCCTATCTTCTTGATGTTGACTGCAGCTGTGCCCCAGGCCGTGGGAGTTGTGATGTGTTAAGAGGAATTTGTCTGCTTTCACATCTACAAGGTACAACTTAATGTAGAATTGTAGGATGTGGGTAAAACTGTAGTAAGGCAGGAAAAGAAGAGAAAATTTTATGTGTATCATGCAGATTTTCTTTCAGCACTGTCGGACTGAAGCAGCCCAGTGATCCATCTTTCCAATCTAATTTTTAATTCTGCATCCCCTCCAAGTTATAGCCAAATATCTATTGCGGGGGGGATTTATCTGAGCATTTGACTTTGCAGAATCCTAATAGCTGTGAACTGGACAGTTATTGCATGTGCTGTGGAGAGGTGGTTATATCTGAATTACTGAAAAGTAGCTCCTAAGTAACCCTTGAGTCCCTCTCCCATTTGAAGCTTAGATACTTCATTACTCTGACCTGACCTATCACATAAAGCCAAATGCTGGTGGGGCTCTGGGAGAGGTGAGCTGGGAAAAGGGGAGCTGAGCCATACTATAAATGCATTCTGTTCAGGCCCCTTCTGCACTGCTTAAGGGAGGGAAACGGAAGATGCAGCTGTAGTTTCAAGCATTCCTGTCTCACTGATGCTGGATTAGCGAGGGATCTCAGTAACCAACAATCACTGCAAGACTCTCACCCTATCAAGGAAAAAAGGAACAGCACTAAGATGGCTTTACTGTTGGATGCAGGTAAAAAACTGGATGCAGTCATGTCTTTCAGGCCAACAGTGATGCACCTGCTTAGCCACTAAAGTGTGTGTTCCACATAGGTTGGATTAATATAGTTGCTTTCAGCCTCTTACATTTCAATGTATTCAGCCCCTGTATCTATTTTTGCTGGTGAGCATGTGGTGTGTGTTGCTTCCACCTAGAATGAAAAATGCACTAAAACTGAAGATCAGAACAGACCAGACAAGAAAACAGTGTGCATGCAGATTGCTAGTTACTTAAGAATATGCTTGGGAGGGAAAGAGAAAAGGGAAATGTGAACAGTGTTTCTGATGCACATTAGAGCTCAAGGACTGAACAGATAATAAAGTTGCTTGTAAAAACTTAAATGGCCTGGCCAATTGTAGGGGCATCAACCAATCCACCAAACTCAGGTGCCAGCTGGCAGGCCTGGAGAAATGTGTTTGTTCTTTGTAGAGCATGCCTTGCAAACCCTGCTGCAGCAGATGGCTCTGGTTGGCCCTGGTGTGCTGGCTGAGAGGCTTAAGTACTGAATAAATTGAAGATGCTGAAGCCTCCTCTCTCTGTCTCCCAAGGGTAAGCTACTCTATTTTGGACTGAGATGCATTGACTAGAAAGAAACATATGGTGTTATCAAAACTGTCTAGGTTTTCTTTTTTTTTTTTTAGTCTGTATGTGTGTGTGTGTAATACAAGCATGGGTTTTGGCAAGTATCTCTACAGGGATTTTGCTCCTGCTGAAACAGTGCATGCCCTATTTCCTGAATCTCCGGAAAAGGCTTCAGATATACCTCGTGAAATATGTTCAGGGAAGGTAGAGTGAATGAGTGAAACCACAAGAGGAAAAGCTTTTAGCATAGGTATGACGGTAACAGGGAAATCTGTTTTCTGCATCATTTCCACAAGGCATGGATGACATGTAACAGCATGGAGTTCCTGCCTTCTACTCATTTGTTGTCTGTCTGCTTATTTGTTGGCTCTGTTTATTTGAGAAGATGGTATAGTGTCCCCCTTTTTAGAAGAATATGTAAGATAACTTTTGACATTGTTTTCTGTAATGAATTTTAAAATTGTCTGATGAATCAGTGTTTAATACCATGAGTGCTTTGGATTGAGGGCTTTGTTTGGTTTGGTTTTTCTTACTGTGAACTTGTACTTTGAGGTAGGTCCAAGTCTGTAGACAGGTTTCCTCCGGAGGTGGGCTTCATCTTAGCCAGCACTAACAGAAACCTTATCCTGAACAAGGTCCAGGTGTGGCTGTGCCTGCCCTGGGCCCCGTGTGCTGCTGCTTGTGCGAGTGGCAGAGAGAGTGGGCCTGTGTGTTTCACAGAATCACAGAACTGATAAGCTTGGAAAAACCCCCTGAGAGTGTCGAGTCCGACATCGGCCTGAGCATACTCTATCAACTCAGCCATGTCTGGTCTTTCCTTAAATAACTCCAGGACCAGGTGATTCCACCATCTCCCTTGGCAGCCCCTTCCAATATTTGATCAGTCATTCCGTGAAGAAATTGCGCCTAGTGTCCAAGCTTGGGCCCCTTTCCTCTTGTCCTGTCACTGGTTCCCCGGGAGCAGAGACCGACCCCCGCCTCGCCAGAGCCTCCTTTCAGGCAGCCGTACAGTGAGAAGGGTCTCCCCTAAGCCTCCTCCCCTCCAGGCTCAAAAACCGCATCTCCCTCAGCCGCTGCTCCCGAGACTTGTGCTCCAGAAGGTGCAAGTACCCAGCCCTGCGCCCCGCCGTTCCCAAAGACCCTGCGATTCCTTTGTCCATCAAAACGAAATGCCAATGACAGTTGCGTCGGTAAGAACGGCGCTCCCGTGCGCTGCCCGCCCGCGCTGTGCCCGGGCCGCGGGGCGCTGCCCGCCC